AGGTTTTTATATAGGTACTAAAGAGTTTTTATAGAATATAAACTTCTTGAGTGATCTAAAAAGCAAAATGAATACTTTAGTAACCAGGGTACCAAAAAAGTGTCCCAGAACTCCCTTTTTCACCCTACTTCAAATGCCAACTTTTCTAATTAGTCTTCTATTATGTACTCCTGCTCTTGCAAGGTTCACAACAACCCCAGTACCCCAATCCAACCATCTTCTTATCTGGATTCTTAATCGGTTCCTCCCTTATTTCCAGCCGGCAACCTGGACAGGTTGGTCTGCCCAGGCTTTAAGTATCTGAAGAATACCCTCCCCTTGGTTCATACTTTCAGAGCGTATACTTTTTTTCTCCGGTGCGTTTGCCCAGCGGTTCAGCTGGTGTGTCTCCCACTAAAGGACCTTGTCGCTCGGTTCTCCAATCTCGGCCCAGTTCGAATTCAGCCGTCATGTAGTACCGTCAAAGATCACTGCTACTCCCAACTCAAAACTTCCCAAATGGGCTTCCTGTATAGTAATGAACAGTTCTCCAGATTTATGCAGTCATGGACTTATCGAGTGTTTGCACTGCCCAAAACCAGTTTGTATTTCTTTGTAGTTTCCAGAGTTCTCCCCCGGTTGTACAAACACTAGCGAACTTCTCAGAATCACTCCCTGGTGCAACTCAAGTTACAGATCCTCAATTTAAGATTCAACTATTTTATACAGGTTACCATACCACTGGCTTATTTTTCAAAATCGTCGTCTATGAGATTCGAACTCTAGACCTGCCACTTAGAGAGAGCGACAACTAGACCACTTTACTAAACCGCCATACTCTCTAATTAATAATATTTTTATTATATTTTTATTATATATTAGTTATATTATTAATTTATAATAATTATCATATTTTTATCATATATTAAAAATAGAGTTACAATAAACTTATAAAATTATTTAAATATTATAATAATAGTATTAAAAATTTTAAAAATTTTTATAATATTTTTATCATATTATTAATATATTATATAGATATAATATTAATATTTTGCAAAATTAAAAGATTTTGTAAAGTACAAGTACTAAATATGAAAAAATAGTTAAATAAAAAGAATGATCAAAATATTTAAAGTAAATTTAGATTTTAAAAAAACTTTTACAATCTGTTAATTTATTGTATTTAAGTTTAAAATACTTTTTTTAATAATTCTAATACTACTTTAGTATTTAGTAAATTTAATATAGCTTTACAATAGTATAGATAGAAATGTGACATAATAATTAATAATATAATTAAAAATAGTAGTACAACAGCTGTAATAACTAAAAAATAAGATTATTTAAGAGTTTATATTAATAAATAGTAAAACTTCTTAGAAGTTTTTTTTTGACAGGTACAAATGTGAGTAACAATTAGAAAAATTTATTAAGTAGAATATATTTTAAAGGTAGTAGAATCTCTAATAAAGGTAATAATAATTAGAATGTGATTTCTCCATGATTATGCAATTAATTCGTAATTTGCCTCCAAATCAGTGAAAATAGTTAGTATCATGTGGGGTAAAATTTTGTAGATCATTTAAAAAAGTCTAGCTGATTGCAATTTTTAGGCATAATATAACACTATTAAAGAAAAAGCTTTTTCATATAAATTAATATATAAAAAACAAAGTTATTTGCTAACAATGCCAGATTCTAAGATAAAAACTGATTCGCGATTTCACTATTTTGTGCATTTTTATTATAATAATAGAACTACAAGTAACTTTATAAAAAACTTTCGAAATAAGAAACTCTTGATATAAGAAAGATTCTGCAAGTTCCAATAAAAATTTTATAATAAAAAGCTTTTGATATAAGAAAGTTTTGTTTCACTTGACGATTTATTTTTTTTATCTTACTTTCTAGAAAAATAAAAAAAAAACCAGGACCATAATGTTTTTATGAATTACTATTTTATATCAGACTATATAAACTTTATTACTAAGAATTTTGTATTACAATTTATACTACATATTCTAGAATTGTTATTTGAGCTGTCTACTCATGATGTTGATAGATATAATGACCTATCTAGTTTTGAATAGTAGATACTTTTGGAACAGCTTTGGCCTCAATATCACCTTCAAGCACCCTTTGCTAAAGAGATTTATACATATCTTGCCCAGTATAATGATCACTTTTGTCTACATTACTAGCTAAAAATTATGCTTCTAATATTCTTCTCACTTTTTTTGTAATTCTTTTTCCTATTGCCTGCTCACCCCGATAATAAGAAAAATTTACAGTACTCAATCTAGATATTATCAATGTAAGTATATATTAAAATGCTAAATTAGATATTTTCATCATACCTGTCATTACTCATGTTGGTTTTTTTAATCAAAACACCAGGGCTTATATCATGATCTATATTAGCATTTTTGATATCATTTTCTAGCTAGATTTTCAAATTTGATACTAGTGTGCTTCTGTTTTCTTTTTCGGTTACCTTTACCCTTCTTAAGTTCAGTTCTTTTATCAATTTTATTTATTAAAATGTGTTGGATTAAGATCTAATATAAAATTGATTATTTTTGAATAAATAAATATTGGTACATTTCAATAAACAAAAAAACTTGCATATAGTATTTGGAATAGGTATCTCCTAGTCAGAGCAAGGCGTGGTATGAGTAGAAATCTCTGGATTGAGTTTAGGAATATCCTTTTTGTATACTTTTTCTAAGTCTGTAGATGAGAATATATTCCAATTCCCAATATTAGAGATAGCATGTGCCAAAATACATCCAGCAAACTTTCCTTTAGTAGGCCATTGCCACTCAAAGCAATTTGAATTACTAGGTAAAGAATTTTTCTCACTAACTAATTATCATATTCTATATTAAATGTCTTCAAAAATAGAAATAATCTTTATTTATTGTTTATAAAGCATTACATCTTTAAAAAATATTCTAAATTATACAAATACATTATTGTAATTTATTTTTAAAAACTAATCTCTATTTCGATTTGGGTTTAAATTTGCCACAGAGGTGCTACAAATATTTTAAATAGCATTTTCTATATCCTGGCCTTCAGCATTATCAAATCCTAAATATACATAGCAATTAATGACATGAGATATCTGAATAAATCAAGTAAATTAAAAACTATATTGCAAAATATTAATTGAACACAAGAGATTATTTTCATTACCTGAGCATAGTGTGAATCAATTATGGTTTTAGCCTCTCCAGCCTTCAAAAATACACATTTTTCTACTTGAATTCCATACTATTTTTTCCAATAATTCATAATTATCATAAGATCTGCATTATAGTAATAACTACCATTATCTGACATAACAATTACCAACTTTATTTTATTTTTTAACCCTTCCATTACTGCATAATGAGACAAAGCAGTAAATCATGAATTCTGTCACATATCTGCAAACCAGTGATCAAATACCTGAGCTTTTAACTTTTTTAAATTATTATATATATACACTTACACTGTATGAAGTGTCTACCCATTTTTTCCAAACCAATCCTGCTTTGTTTCTCTAGCCGATTTGGGTAATATTTTCATCTTGTAATCTACAAGAATTAGAGCTTTATTCTCATTCAAATCTAATAAGTTTGTATTAAATTGTCCATTTAAATAGACTTTGTGAGTTTGGTGAGCCATGTAATAATATAGATAATTTTGCAATTCGGCTAATTCCTCATGTATATCTTCTTCAGAATTACTTTTTAATTCAATAAAAAATTCAAATACAGTATTATATTTATTACAGATGTGGGAATGAGGTTGGCAATATTCTCCAAATGCATATAATAAGCAATGATTAATATAGGCATTGTGAGATGTTGTTTCTTTAGCTGTTATATAAAAATGTGATTCATATTCACGTTTTAAAAATCATTGTAGTTTTTCACAATTTTCTAAGAGCTGTCTAATAAATTGATTTATTGAATGATGAATAATTAATAATAGTAATACATTGGTAAGTTATTTATCTGATTATCACAGATTGAGTATAAAGATGCCCAAGATATACAAATTTTAAACCAATTCTCTACAAAATAAAATATATATACCCTATGGCGGTTAAAAAAAAAACAATTCTTTTGTATAATTTTAATTATTTAGAATTTTATAATAGACTTTGTTTGATTTTTCAAAGTTTTTTTTATTATCACCAGAGTTCAGGCCATTTAACAGTATCCAATCAAAAAAAATGATTGATAATATTAATTTACATACCTGAATATGATAGTATTTTACATTATTCTGAATATATTCACTAATTTTGTCAAAAGTATCATATCTATATTTTGAACAGGTTTAACAAAGACCCTCCAAATTTTCATTGTATATATACTAATTTCCTTGCAAATGCGAATAAAAACTTGTATGCTTCATACTATCTGGATATTCTTTATAGAACTGCTCCTATAGCACATTTTTAAAATCAGATAATAAATAGGCTTATTAGTTACAGAATCAGTTTTATATGAGCTCATTATTATATTTGTTTTGTTCATTAGAAATTGTCAAATTTGTTCCTGTTTTTAGCTGATATTTTTTTATATGTAATTATAGGTTTGTTTTTAATTCTTCCCCAGGGCCACAAACATGTGCATGTTTTCTAGCAGCAATTATAGCATTATTTGAAATCTATATAATACAATTTAGAATAAATGGTCAGATTCAATAAATATATTATTTATTTTTACAACTTAAATTCTAAAACTAACCTTAAAATTTTCATTAATTTTTTCATATGAAAATACATTTGCAATAACAGATAAAATACGACATTTGCCATTATCACCGCATAAATTAACTTCCAAAGAATTCTTAAAACATTGCCAAAAAGTTTTGGTATTATTTTTAAAATGTTTCGGTATTGGATTCAAAAATCCTAAAGTATATAACATCATTAATGAAGCTTTATCCGTATTTGGATTTGTTGACCTTGACCAAAATCTAAACTATACAAATAAAATAAATAAATATTTAGTTGCATTTATTTAAAAAACATTATTACATATCTCTGACTCATTTTTTTCAAATAGTGTTATTTCTATGTAACCAACATGTTTAACAAAGATTCTCAGGCCTGATATTCATGATCACTCATTATATAGACCTTCTGATATAAATTTCGTAAAGCTAATCGTAATTCAATAATAGTATTTTTATATAATACCCAGTCTTGAAACAGTTTTTTCCAGTTAATCTGCATGCTGGTATATCGTTTAAGATAATAATCATACACTAATGTCATTAAATATTTATTAGTCCAATCTGATAATGAACATGTAGAAATATAAATATTTTGAATAAGATTTTAAATGTATTGATTATCAAGTCTAAAAAGCTGATAACTACTAAACTGTTTTAGATAGCCAACTTGATTTCAAATGGAATTTGAATCATAGCCAATAAATGGTTCTCTAGCTTTATTTCCTTCCTTATATATTGTAATTCTACATTCATTAAATTCTATCTCTTGATAAAAAATGCTATGTTGACTATTATATAAGTAAATAAATGCAGACTTGAATTCAGGCCTAGCGAAGTTAAGTTTTTCATTGTTTGATTTTCCAACTTCAAGTATCCATATTTGTAATTTATTAAAAGAATAATTGAAAACTTGAAATGACAATTCATGAAGATACTCTTGAACAATTTTAGGCATATCATAACCCATAACTTCTGGTCCCGAAAAATTGGTTTTTGTTTGTAAAATTTTTTGATATACTGTTGTGATAGCTATACTAGGCATTCTACAAATCTCACTTTGAATACCATCACACTTACAAATATAACTTGGATGTGGTTCAAGTTCAGATTCTAATTGCCCAACCTTGATAATAAAGTCATGTTTATTTAAAATTACCAAAAGTTTAGATTGGATATGAATAGAGTAAAGAAAACAAGAGTTATTAATTTTTTCTGATGGTCTTGAAATCCACCAGTTATGACAAAAGGGTCCAAAATGTAAATCTTTGACCAAGTGGCCATGAGAAATTAAGGTGATTATATATTTTTTATGTTTAGTTATTTAAAAAAATTTTTTTTTACTAAACTTTAACTTCTAATATATACATATATATAAACATATATATATTGTTATTATTTTTTTTTCTTTGTAGTATTATTATTTGTCTAAATAATTAATAATATTCTTAAGAAAAGCTTTTGCTAGTGCTTTTCCTTCATTAAAGGCAGTTGAGTTAAGTGACAGTAACAGATTCTAACATGTTCTTAAAATATGTAAGTTGATTATCCCCACTCTTATATATAATATATATAGTATTTTTTCTGATCTGCAGGCAGATCACGAATTAAATATAATTAATAAAGGATAATTAATAAAAAATAGTATGTTAGTTTCACTAGTATATAGTATAAAGCTTTGTCTATATTATGAATTTATTTAATTAAGTTATGCAATATGATCGGCTAATTATCATGAGAAATCATGAGTAGATCTGCAAGGATTGTCCAATTATATGAATGTTGTTTTATGATTTTCACCTTAGTTATATTACCAAAAATGCTCTAGAAAAAAGATATAATATAAATTAGACATAACTATTATACTTACTAGCTATTGTAGTAATGTGAAGAATTTTGATAGACCTATATTAGTTTTGTATTGAATTCATTATTAATTATATCATAATTAATTGTAATCAATTCAATTACAAAAAATACTAGCTATTATATGATATAATTAATTTAGATATGTTAAGTTAGTTTGATATTAAACTTATTGTAATTATATATTTATTGATTGTAATAATTTGATTAATATGCTTACTGAATATAGTGATTAATGATATGATAGAGTTGTTTCAATAAAGTCCTAATAGATTTTTTAATATAAAACATTATAGCATGGTATAACTTTTTTATTAAACTACAAATAAGCTGTAACTCAATTTGCTATATTTTAAAAATTCATTAGAACTTTATTGAGATAATTCTACTATATTACTAATGGTGATATTAGGATTTAGATAGGTTTTGTTAGTTTTGTATTGAAGATTGTTGTAAAAAATTTGGTATAAGACATACTGGCAATTAATAATATAAGTAATTAAATAGATTGGTATTAGGCTTATTATAAATTGTATAGTAGTTAACTATAAAAAATCTAATTACTATATTTTTTAGCTATTGTAACAATGTAAGGGATTTAGATTTATATTAGATTTGCTATAAAATTCTATATTAAGTAATTGTAAAAAAATTGGTTATACTAGTTTATATTAGTAATTTATTTTTGGTATAATATTTTTTTTATATAATAAATTTATTTAAAAATTTTCAGGCTTTATCTAATAACTATATCAAGCTAACTGTATAATAACATGAAAAAATACTTGATTTTAATTAGTCAATCATAAAAATACTAAAAATTTTAATTTTTTAATTTTTTTTATTTAAAAATCAAATAACTTTAATTTTTTTTAAAAAAAAACATAAAACTAAATATTAATAATATTTTTTTATAAATAGATTATATAAATATTCAAATATAATATATATATATATTTAAATATTAGAAATATACTTAAAATCACCAGTAGTGATCATCACCACCCTAATTATTTTTAGGGTTAGGGTTAGAAATTAGAGAATTATTTTTTTTTTATATAAAATAATATAGATCTACTATAAAGGCCCGTTAGAGTTTTTGGGGGTCCTGAATATTTTTACTTAGAAAACCCAATCTCATTTACTTAGTACGTTTTTGAGATATAGATATCCTGGTGATGATCACTATCCCTTAAATTTTTTGCAGCCAAATTTGCTTGCAAACTTTTTTAAATTTTAAAATTTTTTAATAAAATTTTAAATATTGATTTTAGCT